GTGATTGAGGGTTTGGAGGACAGGGTCCCTTAGGCACTGTCTGAACACAAATAAAGCATTTAATTTAGTGTCTTGTATTCATACTACAAGCATTAATCTAGATTGGCTGGATATTGGCATTGTTACCTGTATAGAAATCTGAGGGAAGGCCCAGAAACAAAGGGCAAACCCTAAGTTAAGTGGATATTGTCATGTTAACATCGTGTTTTGTTTTTAATTTCTTTACCTATATTACAAATGGTTAACCCTTGTGATTTCAGGTGCCAGTGACGTTCGATGATGTTTCCGTCTATTTCTCTGAGCAGGAGTGGGGGAAATTGGATGATTGGCAGAAAGACCTTTACAAGAACGTGATGAAAGGCAACTACGAATCATTGATCTCACTGGGTAAGGATCAGTTTTCTTTCACTCGTCTGTTAGAACGTCAGTGATCTCTGAAGTAAACCCTAGAGATGGTCCTTCTAGGACTGGGGGAGGAGAGCAAGCTTGCAGTTCTGTTGCTAGCGCTATATCCATTCTGTGGATAAAGGCCTTCAGTCCACAGGTGCAACAGGCACCTCTCACCAGCAGTGATCATTCCAGTGGAGCAGCGCTTATAGCCTTCAGTTTGTGCGTCACTCCTTCCTTCCATTCAGCAGAGAATGAGAGATCTGCAGCGATTGCTCTGTCTGCAGCTTTCCAGCCCCGAATAACAGTTCCCTATCATCGTACCTGTTCAGCCTACACACCCTGGTGCTGATACAGTTTGACTATCCCAGGCCTGCTCTGTGCATTGTGAATGTGCTATTGGATGGGCTGGACTCGGCGGAGGGCTGTGACTCGTGGGGCTGGGGCTCTTGCCAAGGGTGGTGAGTCAAGACTCGGGTGCTCGCTGTCATTACTTTGCTGTGCTGGGTGTTCTCTCTCTCCCTTAGTAGTCCCAGCCTTTAAAATGTCTCCCAGTTTCTGGCATCACGAACCTCAAGAGCTAAACGCTCAGGAGAAGGAAGGAAGCAATCGTCAGGAAATTGATACACAGCAAATCTTATAGCTTTATTCGGTTGTGCCTTTGGATGTCTGAATTCGGGAGCGTGGGGAGGGGGAAGCAACCCGCCAGCCCCTCGCTCCTGGCAGCCAGCTCTCTCACGGCTTGTCTGAGGGCATTGCAGCTTGAAATAGGCACGCAGAAAACTGGGCTTCTCACCGGGCTGCCTGCCTGCAGGAATGGAGGGCTCCTCCCTGCACCTGAACTGGGAGGGCAGAGTGGTTTAAAATCACTGTTGTCTGTAAATAATACTCCGTGCCTATGACTAACCCTCCCGCCCCTTCCTGTCCTCTCCCATGAACAGACTACGCCATCTCCAAACCTGACCTTCTGTCCCGGATTGAACGGGGGGAGGAGCCGTGTGGGGGGGCTCAGGAGGACTCCGAGGAGAGCGCGATCCCAATGGAGCCTAGCACAGGTGAGTTATGTGGAGTGTCATAAGGTGCTTTGCTGGCAGATGTACGAGAGGAAGGATGGCTCAGTGCTCAGGGCACTAGCCGGGGACTTGGGAGACCCAGGTTCAATTCCTTCTCTGCCACAGACTTTCTTTGCAACCTTGTTGTCTATACGCCGTATCTGCAAAATGCACTTCCCTTCCTCACAGAGGGTGTTCTGAGGATAAATACTTGGGGTGAGGGGGTCTCAGATTATAGTAATGGAGGATTTGTAAGCACAATAGGTAGGTAAAATAGTGCTGCACAGAGTTGGATGCACAGATCGAGAAGGAGGGGCTCTGCAAGAACAGGAGCTCCCTCTGGCTGTGGAGTGTGAGGTGGTTCTTTACTCATCGGGTACACCGGATGGCACAGAGAAAGCGATGAGTGAAGCCACAGAGTTGGCTGGTTTGGAAGCAGTTTGCTCTAACTTCAGCCAGCCAGGATGGAGAGAGCCATGGAGGGGTTCGGAGATGGAAAAGAAGCCAGGAAAGCTTACGTGCCTTCTCTGGCGCAGAATAGGGTGAGCTCCCTGGAGCTGAGGGCCAGGAATTAGGAAATGCAACACAGAAGGGTTTGTACTAGGTGCATGATTATGGTAGGACCCATATTTCAGCAGAGACAGAGGAAGGTAAGGACTGAGCCTTTGCCCACTGGCCACGATTTTCCAAAGGGACTAGTGACTCTGAGTGCCATAACGTTCGGGGGCAAGTGCAAAGAGCCGTGAAATCCAGCCTGGTTCCCCACCATACACACCAAACTTCTCTATTGGCCTAAAAACCAGGAACCAACAAAAGCTGCATCTTCACTGCCTTATTTTGTGCAACCCTCTCGCTTGCTCTCCTCTCTCCCTGCATGGTGTTGTACCTAGCCCAGACTGTAGCACCTTTCGGCATGGGCTGTCCCCCTTTCTCTCTGTATAGCACCTGGGTGCTCTGGGTAAACGTTGGCTAATAGAAACATGTGAGTGGGTGCATGTTAGCTAATCACAATGCGATTTCTCTCCCCTCGCAAACAGAATCGCTGAGCCTTACTCATGACACTGTATCGTGGGTAAAACAAGAAGACCTGTACATCAGGGATCAGTGGGACTCAGAGGAGAGAGCGATTTCTACAGAGCCCAACACAGGTGAGCGAGTGATTGGAATGACTCACAGTGAGTGCAACAGGAATCTGTCAGTCAGGAGAGACCTTTGTCAGCTCTTAGCGTCCTGTCTTGTCAGATAATCCTCTCTCTCAAACTGCATTTCTCAGATCACTTTCGCAGGACTCAGTCACAGCTTCCCACCAGGCCTGATTTCCAATCAGCCATCTCTTTTTGGGCTCTTTGGAAGGTGGGTTGGAATGGAATTGGTGGTTCTCCTTTTTATGCCAAAGGAACGTTCTCCTCTAAGTCTCTTAGCCTGGCACCTCTCTTCCTTGGCTGGCACTGAGGTAGTGTGATTGCACCAGAAGTCCCTGCTCGCTGTCTCCCTGTGTAGGGGTTTTAGAGCAGGGCAGTAAGTTGGAGACACAGTTTTCTCAGGCAGATGGTGGCAGGGTGCTGAGAGGCAGGTGGTGGATGGACAAGGGGCAGAAAACTAACAACTCTTGGTTTCTCCTCTGAGTCCAGCAGATGACGAGGTTGTAGTCAAAGCTGAGGAGGGAATCCCGGTGAACCTGGAGCTTTACAGCACGTTGCCTGGACAACCAGAAGAGACTGTTTTCCAGTACCCTGAGCAGGAACCGATCTGTGATGATCAGGGCAACGTCAGCATCCAGGGAGAATACCCTGATGGGAACAGACTGGGGGACTCGGCTGCAGGCGAGGGAGACTTCAGTAACTTCACCACAATCATTGTCCAAGAGGAGAGCCTCCCAGGAGAGGCGCCGTACCTCTGTTCTGAATGTGGGAAAAGCTTCCTCTACGAGCAGCAGTGCGTACTGCACCAGAGGATCCATGACGGAGACCACACGCCTCCTGAGTGCAGGGAGAGCTTCAAGCAAAACCACTGCCTCAAATCCTGCCCACAGAGCCAGCCGGGGGAGAGACTCTATAACTGCCCTGAGTGCGAGCGGAGCTTCCCTCACAAGTCGAGCCTCAGCAAACATCAGCTCTCCCACACGGGGGACCGGCCGTACACTTGTGCTGAGTGCAAGAAGAGCTTCCGGTTGAAGATCAACCTCATGATACACCAGAGGAGTCACGCGGGGAAGAGCAGGGGCTTGTATATCTGCAACGAATGTGGGAGGGGCTTTAACCACCATTCGAACTTCATTAGGCACCAGATGATCCACACTGGGGAGAGACCCTATGGCTGCACCGAGTGCGGGAAAACCTTCATGCGGAAGGAGCACCTCCTGACCCACCGGCGCCTGCACACGGGAGAGCGGCCCTACCAGTGCACCGAGTGCCGGAAGAGCTTCACCCGCAAGCAGCACCTGGTGGGACACCAACGCATCCACACGGGGGAGAAACTCTGGGGGACGCTGGCAGCACAGAGACGCTTGCACGACCTGCCAGGCAAAGTGCACAGGGGAGAGCCTGTGTCGCTGCACTCGATGCACAAGGAGTTCCCCCCGTAGATGCTGTGTTAAATGCTACCAGGGAGCTCTGGCTGGGGACAATGATCATGATGGCATCTGAGCAAGGGAGTGAGACCAAGTCTCTGTGTGTTGAACAGAGAACTAAATGGCAGCGGGATGATCTGTGGAGAGGTCTAGGCTGCTGCTTTGTTAACAGTTGAGTCCATTCCCACTATGGCAAAAAAACAGCTAGGCAGCCTCAATGCTCCATGGGAAGCTTGTTCTTTTCCTGTGTTTCTCTCTTGCTAATTCATTACACTAAAGGTAGTTGCATCTTTCTTAAACCAACGAGAGCTACTTTTCAGTGTTCATAGGTGTTTGGCCTGTCAATCAGGATTCCCAGCTTGTGGTATGCAGGTAAGGTGCCCTTTGGAAAGGGGAAACCATCTCTGTCAGTTAATGGAACACGTTCACTTTCACAATTTGTAATCATTGTCACTGGCTCATGTTCAGTGTTCTTGATGGCAGCGGACATCTTTCCCTTGGGGCTGTCTCAGGCACCATTCAAATGATGGATTCCGTGCTGGAGACATCCCAGGGCTGCTATTAACCTGTGAGCATCGTGAAATCGGGATAAAGGTCCAGGAGCCCATTGAAGTAACAGACTGCTTGGGGGACATTTTCACCAGTGCCTGAGTGACTCAGTCCCATTGACTTTCCAGAAGGGGGTCGAACGGGGACTCGTCCACCTGGGCCTGTCCCCCAAGGGAAGTAGCTGGTTAATATTTACATTCCTCTGTTCCAGTAGTTCTAAACCTGCGGCCTGCATGCGGCCCAATTAGCACACAGCTAAAGGCTTCCGGGCTGCACGGTGGGGGCCAGGCTGCCCGGTGCGGCGGGGGTCCAGGGCTGCTGCCTGGCCCCGCACAGCAGGGGACCTGGGGGGTCCAGGACTACCGCCTGGCCCCAAAAGGTCTGGGGTCCGGGGTTTGGGTCCGGCCTGCCGCCCAGCTGCCCTGCCACCCGGCCCCATGCGGCTGGGTCCAGGGTCAGGGCTCCTGCCCGACCACACACAGTGGGGTCCAGGGTCCCTGCTGCCTGGCCCCCCGCTCGGGGCTCTGCTCCTGGCCCCACTCTGTCGAGGGGTCTCTGAGTGGGAGGCGCTGAGGTTAGAGGGTCTGTGGGGGGAAATTCGGGGGCGGGAGGGATGGGCGCGCGCTTTGGTTCTCAACCTGTGGCCCAGGTAACACATTGTGGGCCTCATATACGGCCCACAATGATAAATAGGTTGAGAACCACTGCTCTGTTAGTATCCATGTGAGTAGAGCTGTTGCCCTGAGAGTCGTTCACATGTGCGTTCTCTCAAATCCTCTTTTCAAAATGCACAATAATAAAATGTACAATCAACAGCAAAACAAAGATACCATCAGAAACAGACCATCTGCCAAATGCAGCTCAGCCTGCCGCGCAGCATCAGTACGTTTCATTGCACTTATCCGTCTGGTCTGAAATGCCATGATACATGGGGAGTGATTTAAAAAGAATTCTTACTTGAAGTGTTTGAGATAATTACAAAAAAAGCATATTGAAAAAATTGTCAGATGATTAAGATCCTCAGAGGTACCCTCCATATCTGCCTGATTGTGAATTCCATACCCCCATAATGGAGCAGTTACTGGCCCCATTGATTTCCGGGGGACTGAGCATAGGATAAGTGCTCACCAGTGAGAGAAAGAGGGTTTGGGCCCAGCCTACACAAGCTGGGAGGGAACGGTGGGGCTGAGACCAGCTTGTTGTGCATGTAGAGGTCTTTGAGACTCACCTATGCCATGTTGTTCACACAGATGTAGAGCCAGAAGCTGGTTTCCCTGAGCAGCATCCTGGCCCAAGGGTCCTTTATTGTTAAATTATAACATTGATATTGTGGTAGTACCTCAAGGCCGCAACCAGGTCAGGGCCCCATTGTGCTGTTCACTGTATAGACGTAATACAGGACAGTCCCTGCCCCAAAGAGCCTACAGTTTGCAAGACAAGATGCAACAGGTAGATGAGACAAATGAGTAGGGGAGACTACAAATATTTAGCCGGATGCTCTCCACCTGCCTAGCCATTATCAGTTTCCAATGTGCATTTTGGAAGACGTGAGTTTTGAGAGATTTGAAGGACAAGGTGTGGTGGCTTTATGGATTTTGACTGGGAGCTTTCCCCACAAGTAAGTGGTGTTGTGAGAGAAGTGGAGAATCAGCAGTGGAAGCTGGCATTATTGGTGGAACAAAGGCTGAGTCAACGTTGCGCTGAAGGAAGAGGTCCGATCGGATAGGACTACATTGTGGAGGACTTTGTGTTTGATGTGATGCAAGAGGAGGGGCCAGTGGAGGGAAAGAGAGGATGACAGTGATGAACCAGGAACAGGACTTTAGCCACACCATTTTGAATGTGTCTGAGGGCTGCGAGATTGCTGACATTGAGGAAGAGAGCGTCAAGATGTGAGATGATCAAAGCTTGGACAAGAATTCTGGCCACATGGACAGAGATGAAAGGTCAGACACTGGAGATGTGGTGCAGTAAGAAATGGCAAGATATAGACATGGCCTGGACGTCTGATTTAAAGGAGAGAGCTGAGTCAAAAATGTTATCCAGTGATAGAAGGGGCAAGGGGAGAGCTTTGGGGGAAAGATCAGGAGCTCTGTTTTGGCCATGTTAAGTCTGAGTTGACCGCTAGACCTCCACAAGAAGATTTCAGAAAGACAGGCTGTGTTCTGTTGTGGCCATGAGTGAAGAAAGGCCCCCAGCAGAACAGAGTGGGGGTATCCATGTCTCAGCAGCTGCTTTTGTGGGGAGGCAGGCTGAGCTTCCTACACCCCAGAGAGAGGGGGTGGAAACAATTTTTCTGATCCATCACATGGGTCTGCAACCTGTGAGTGGGTTTAGGAAATGCCCTGGCCAGGCAGGGCTGCACCAAAGTTGGTATTTAGCAGGTGTTTCCCAGGCATCAATTGGCTCAAGAAGGTTCGGATATTCAGCTTCGTTTTATTGCCAGGTTGAAGCCACTGCGGGTATGTCTACACTGCAGTTAGACGCCAGTGGCAGCAGGCTTAGGCTAAGTGCAGTGTAGACATTCAAGCTTGGGCTGGAGCCTGGCATCTAGGACCTGAGAGGTGAATGTCTACACACTGCAATTAAACAGCCCCTTAGCCGAGTCAGCTGGCACGGGCCAGCAGTGGGTGTCTAATTGCAGCGTAGACATTCCCAGTTTCACCCATGGAGTGAGAGAGACCTGTATGTTTTCATACCACCGGCTGTAATAATCCAGCTTGGATCCCTCTAGAGCAGCGGTTCTCAACCAGGGGTCCGCATACCCCAGGGGGGACGCAGAGGTCTTCCAGGGGGTACATCAACTCATCTAGAGATTTGCCTAGTTTTACAACAGGCTACATAAAAAGCACTAGTGAAGTCAGTACAAACTAAAACTTCATACAGACAGTGACTTGTTTATACTGCTCTATATACTATACACTGAAATGTAAGTACAATATTCCAATTTATTTATTTTATAAATGCTGTGACATTTTTATATTTTTATATCTGATTTTGTAAGCAAGTAATTTTTAAGTGAGGTAAAACTTGGGATACACAAGACAAATCAGACGCCTGAAAGGGGTACAGTAGTTTGGAAAGGTTGAGAGCCACTGCTTTAGAGGGTTCTCCTTTCCTCCAGGGCTATCTACTATGGGTTACTGTGGTTTAAGCCTGCTATGTCTTTGCAAAGCCTTGTGTCTGAGTGTAACACCTGTGCCAACAAAGCTAGCTTGTCTCTGATGGAGCCAGTGCAGCAGTCTGCACCACTTTAGGTCCACACTTTGGAGAGACAGGCATCACTTCAAGCTGAAATGGTGAAGCTAAGTGTTGCCAGAATCAATGGTTACTGCAACTGTTCAGCGTCTCCATATCCCTCACCAGTGTTAGCTGGGCCATTGTGTGCGGGACATTCGTGCTGCCCCCAGCCATTTCTGTACCACTGCATTGTGGAGCCTAGCCCATACATGTTTAGCACAGGTCCCCAGAGTGGGAGGAGGGGTAGTTGTGGGAAGCACTTGATGTGGTGGAGCAAGTGCCCACCTCAGTCAGGAAGGGGTTAATAAGCACCCATAGGCACAATCAGCTCCCAAACTGGCACATCTGTGAAACCTGCTGCACCGGGAGAAGGGCAGCTCCCTAAAAGAGAGGTACCAAGCCCTGTAAGGGTGGCACTCGGGGAAGCAGAGCCAGGGCCTGGAGCTCCCTGAATCCATAGAACCAGGATGCTGACTAGGAAGGCTGCTGAAGATCCTCTGCTGCCCAAGTCCTCTAGATAAGCAGAGGAACCTTCTTGGAATTGTTTTAGTTCCTTAGAGCCCAGGACGCTCAGCCTGGGCCTCTCAGACTGACAAGGAGTTAAAGAAACCCACCTTTGACTTAAGAGACTGACTTGTTTGCCTTGCAAGACAAGCCGGGTGGATCCAGACTGCGTTGGGGTTGCAGGACTGTTCTACTTTCCCTTTTTGTTCAACGACTGATGGCGGAGGGCAGAACTACTCTCCTGAGACTTGTATCTGGAAACACACAGCTCCTCTGCAGATCAACTCTGTAACAACCCCAGCACCCAAAGGAAGACACCGGGAACAAAAGGAGGTGCCCCTACCCACGCCCCAAAGGGGGCACTCTAGAGGTAAATCCTTTGACACCTGCCATGCTGTGTGTGGCCAGAAGGATATTCTGGGATTTTGTAATGAGCATCCTGGAACTCCCTGGGAACTGCTGCCGTTTCCTATATTCATCTCAACGTGGAGGAGAGAAGTGATTCATTCCGTCAGAAAGTCTAATTTGATTGAAATCTTGCTGAATCAATTGGTGGCCAGGACTGGAGACTGTGGCGAGCAGAATTCCAGCAGAGTCCAGGCATTGGGGATGTGGATATTGCTGATATCCTAGAATCCATCCTGGAACTGCAGGCCCTGCCCCAGAAAAGGGGAAGTGAGGGCTCAGGCTCCTGATCGAGATGTCGTTCTATCCCACTGGAGGGACCTGCTGTCTACGGCTTGTCACTGCGATGAATGCCCCTTTGGGATCAGGACCCGTCCTAGTGCCAGAAACAACTCTGGTGGGAACCTGGCATGAGGACTGTGGCTGCAGAGCTTCTGACTGGGCACTGAGATTGGCTGTCGGTCATCTCCGGGGGGGAGGGGGCTTGTCATGACCGTGGGACTCCAAGTGAAGTTATAGATTAAAGGGTTATGGATTCTGACGTACCGTGTAGCTGCCCAGAGCCAGTCATTCTGGGTGGTACTCCTAGCTTGGCTGGGCAGTGGACTGTGCTCTGGAGATCTAAACTGCCCATTTGGCACTCCCATACTACAGTGACAGGCACTATAGGAAAAACCTAGTGTCACTGAGCAACATGGTGCATTGCTTAAAAAGAGGAGACTGGGGGGTAGGGCAGTTAACTGAGGGGTGTATTTCTAGCTCAGCCACTGAGCTGCTGGGTGATCCTGGGCCGGTTTCTGTGCGTCTGTTCCTCTCCCTGTCTTGGATTGTGAAGCCCTTGGGGCAGAGACCATCTCACTATGTGACTGTACGGCGCCCGGTTCCCAATCTCTCTGGGGGCCTCCAGGGCTGCTGCTCTGACTACTAATAAAAGGGAAGACCTGGTACCTTGTGAGAATTTTCGGAATTCCTCAAGGGCGTTGGTGTGAGAGAGACAAGGTGGGCGAGGTTGTATCTTTTCTCTGGTGGTAAAAGAAACAAGCCGCGGTCAGAAGACAGGATAGGGGGCTGGATGGACCTTTAGGCTGACCCAGTTTGGCCATTCTTTCAAGCTACACCACCCTTCCGCAGGGCTGGGGATCCTCGTTCTCAGACAAGCGAATGAGAGTCCAGGGTGACGGGGTTAGGGCCGATCTACGCAGCCCCGCCGGCCCTGGGAGCAAGGGGCTTTCAAGGCCGGCCCAGCTAACCTGGCTGCAGCGTTACCCAGAAGTGAGGATGGGGGTGGCGGATCTTACTGCAGGCCTGCACCCGTGTCCAAGGTTTCTGCTGCAGCCCTCAGGGTTACCAGCCTAACCCGGGCTAAGGGGTGTGAGGAAGCAGGGAGCCAGGCTTGTTGCCGGGCAGATGAGAGGAGATGGGGGAAGGCTGCAGGGTGCTCACCTGGCCCAGGGAGTTGGAGCCTTGTGATTGGGTGAACCCTGGAGGATGGAGGGCTGCCTAAGCCAATCGGAGTGGGGAGG